ACGAAATGTAACCAATAGCGCTACTATACAACTGCATAACTGTTAAAATCATTAAATTTTATGAACCAAAATTATTTCATATTAGTCGAAAATGTATTTACAGAATGTAGGTATATGATGCAATCGGTAAATGCTATTGGTAACAGCATTAACATCAGAAATATTTTCTCAATAATAGTAATGACAAAGTTCTAATAATAGGTGCAGTTTAAAAAGAGCCCAGATTGGTCCTATCGATGAGATGTTCTATGTCCTATAAGAAAATATTCAGGTTATAGTTAGGTACGAAAAAAATACTCAAATAAAGCAGTGTATGAACACGTGAAGCAGTGTCGACGAAGCTACGTGCTTGCAGCTCTTGTCAGTGACGGATGCGACTGCACTGAGATCGTTACAGCATCGACATTACATCTATAGCCTTTCGCTTTTAACGAGCTTTGACGCTCCGGAACATTTGGTTTTGTTGCTAAAAAAACTAGTTCAGATGAATTGCTTTCCGGCAACTTTACCTCAAAAATGGAATTTAGCGCTGAAGTCCAACGTTAGTTTTAGAAGTATATTAATTGAGTTTTACTCCCTAAAATACGATCTTCAATTTAAGAGACACGGATTAAGAATTTACTGATGTTGGATGGGTAAATAAAAATTTTAACTTGATTAAATTCGGAACGATCGCACAGATTTCGTTCTATTTGCACCCTTTTTCAGATTTCCGTGATACTGTTAATGTAAAAGAAAACTCAAGCGAATCGTTACGGGTGATTATGGCTCTCGTAAGCGCCAGGACAGCGTAACAACTTGACACAGCCATTGTTATGTTCAAGATTGTAATATCCGCTATTGCTACTTAGCCACAAACAGAACGTTGGGAAATTGCGCTGCTCTTGAAATACCACACGCTTTTAAAAGACTTTTTAAGAGCACTACGTGCAATGCAATATAGTCCGTTAATTAGCATGAGTGTAGCAAGATTTCGCTGTTTGTTGACTGAGTAAAACAGTTGATGAAAAGGTTTAGCAATTGAAAATCCATAAATTGCTTTACGTGTAGGTATACTTACCTATTTCCTAAATATAATCATCCATATAAGTCTACAATTTAGGGGTGCCTAACTAGCATGCTGACATATACCTATCTAAAATGTTTATCTATTTAAACTGTTACAGTAAAGGACACAAGCATAAAACAAATCGAATATTTACACGAAACTAAAAATACTTCTAACAAAAGCCTGGTTGAACTGCAGCAGAACATCGCAATTATGCGCAGAGAGAAGAGCTACCCACAGCAATTAGATATGGCACGGCTTTTTGAACAATAGATACGGCGAAGGCTGAACAACCGCCTCGCCCCGGCTCATGACGACGTATTCATAACAATATAAGCTGAAACAATAATGCCGCGGGAACATAATTTACTAACTTTTTATAACACCATAAAATCCCCGTACGCTGCAGTCTAATAATTTGGATAAACAAAAATACGGACCTATAACATATTATATTTTTCAGTTTTCATATTATGAGAAATAAAGCAGTACGACCGACTTCGTTACTTAAGTCAATAAAACCGCGTGAGTTTTGAAATAATTTTCATCTCGCAAAAAGAAACAGTTAATAAAATTTTAAGCGCATTTTTCTTAGCAAGAGCCGAATTTTTCTTAAGGCTGAAAAGATAGTTGACCGAACCTCATCGCCGTAGGCTAGTAACTTGTATGTAAGACGTTAAAGCGAATGTTTAAAAATTTAAAGTGGAGTTCCCGTCGACATACATCGCGAGGCTTCCCGATAAACATCCCCGGGCGTCAGGTCGCCGGCCGGGTTGCTTTGTTTACGGTCTACGCGCCACTACGTGATCTATTATACTCAACTCAGCTACACTACACGCCTCTTCTAACTGAAAATAACTGACTCAACGTCACATTGTTCAACACTCTGCATTATTCTAAATGTAGCTTTACATAGAATTTAAATTTCATATCATTTATTTCTGTTATAATCCAATATTTATAGGAAACCAGTACCTACATATATGGGCAGAAAAATTGAAGAACTAAATACCTACCCACACACGTACAGCGGTGTCTGGTTGGTTGGTACCAACTGTGGCTTTTTTGCAGAGCGAGTAAGTGCAGTATAATTTCCTTAATTAAGACCCGACGTATCAAGCAATTTAAAAACTAAGAAATGCGCGAGAGCTTTAATTAAAGTCGTGATCAAAGGGTCAACTCTCAGGAAGTGCGCACAAATTTAAACTGAGACTTTGTGACTCTAACAAACCGATGAATATTGTCGTGTCGTCATTTTATCCCTATGTTGACAAAAAGAAGGCTCTAAATATTCGATGCCCTCCTTGAAGTTTTAAAAGTAGCCCCTATACTGACCCTAAGCAAACTTCAGCTTTCCTCTGACTTAAGTGAATAACAGTAGAGGTAGGTGTAGGTAACAGTGTTACTATAATTTTCTCATAACTCTACCCGATAAAATAAAGCTAAATACTCGTTCCAAATTTGCATACAGTCAAATTAACAAGACAAAAAACCTAACCCTTTCGTCCTCCACGCCGAACGACAACTTACCACATTAGTTTGGAGCCCAATGCAGAATGGCAGCCCGTGACTCAAAAGAAGTCGGTCTAGCTAGCTGAACGTCTGCCAACCAAACCGAGAGTGAGAATAATATATTTTTTAAATTAAGTATAATACAGTCACGAAATTCATTTGAATGTCGATGGACATTCAAATGAATGTCGTTGATTTCAACGTCCCTTATAAAATTAAATAGTAATAGGTAATAGTTTTAGACATAGGCATAAATTACCTTACTTTAGTAGGTACTTACATACCATACCTAAGACTAAGAATACTATTAAGAATTACTAGGTGTGATTTCCAATAATTGTTTTGACTACTATCTCACCTAGTGGTAAACGATGATGCGGTCTACGATGGAGCACGTCGTCCCATAAGCAACCTATTCACTCGGGCCTTGAAGACACCCTTCAGGAAATACAGACTCTGGCAAAGAATTCCACTCCTTAGCAGTACGCACAAGGAAGCTTGATGCAAAGCGCTTCGTGCGTGTGGATGGGGCATCTACCATGAATTGGAATCTAGATACCATGGATTGTATTCCTATTAAAACAAATCCGTAGATACTTAGACGGTTTGTTAAGTCAGTGACTTTTTGAATTTCCCACGCAGTTATACCAAATGCAACAGTGCTGCTGTCAACTGTAATCTATTATTAGTGAGCTAACTGTCAAATTTTGAGCAAGCTACGTCTTGCAGTTGATTTTTCATAGCCATTTAAAGCAGAAAACTTCGTAAATTTTAACGAAAATGGATAAAGTAAATTTCGTGTGCTGATAACCATTACTTTTTACGTAAAAAAACCATCACTAAAATTAAGGAAAAGCTTGATAAATACTACGAAGACTCGCCACCATCAATTTCAATGGTAGGTAAAGAAGTGGTTTACAAAGTTTCGTTGTGGTGGTGCTGGTACTGGTACGCACTAGTGACGCCGAACGTTCAGGTCGCCCAAAAGAAGTTATCACGCTGGAAATCGTCGTTAAAATCCATTAAATTATATTGGATGATCAGATAATGAAAGTTCGTAAGTTGGCTCATGCTGTAGGTAAGTACCTAGTCAACTGATACACGGATACATCATATTTTACACGAATATTTGGACATGAGAAAACTCTCCGCGAGATGGGTGCCGTTATTGTTATTGGTTATTGTGGACGATATATGGATCCATCAGAACAAGCCAGAGCCTAAGGAACAATCGAAACAGGTTGCACGGGCGGGGTGAACGTGGACCAAAGAAGGCCAAACCGAGTCTGTTAGCCAACAAGGTCATGGCCATAGTTTTTTAGGATACACGCGGTGCCATTCACACCGAGAAAGGTAAACAATACCGGCGAATATTATTCAAAGCTTTTGGACAGATTCGACGTTGACTTGAAACAAAAAACGGCCGCATTTGGCGAAGAAGCACGTGTGCACACTTGTTTAGTCATGACGGCCAAAATCCACGAATTGAGATACCTACGAACTGCTACCCCATCCAACATATTCTTCAGATTTAGCCCCCTGCGACTATTATCTGTTTCCAAACCTAAAGAAATGGCTGGGTGGTAAGATATTTGAGTCTAATGAAGAAGTCATTATCGAAACAAATGCGTACCTACCTATTTTGAGAGCCTTGAGAAAACCTATTATTTGGGGGAATAAAAAAATTAAAAAAACCCTGGACTAAATGTATCGTACATACCGCAAAAAAATGTTTTATTCAAAAAGTCACGGAATACCGCCCTTGTATAATATCATTAATTGAAAGAAAGAAAAGAAAGAAAGAAAATTTTTTATTTGCACACTGACACAAGGAAATAAAATAAGAAACAATACAGTAAGACGGCGCAAAAAGGCAAGAGCTCAGCTTAAATGCCGTGACACGAGTGTGCTCGAGTCACGGCGCTGATTTTCAGCACTTGCCCGTTACTAATAAAATAATACATTTAATAATAATAATAGTAAAACAGTAAAAAAAATATATATATACAATTCAAAATTAAAATAACAAAAATTATTTGTACAATAAATAAAATAAATAAATCTCCCAAACTAAACATGCGTTTAGTTCAGGAGATTCACCATATTTGTCAGCTTGACACTGACATTTACATAACAGATGTCACATTCGCCTAATAAAATAACCTCAAGCGCACGCGACGACGCGGTAGGTACCGGTAAGCGGTAATGGCGTCCCCGTTTATACAAAATTGCTCACAGTACCCGATAAATATAATTACTATAAGTATTCACGTGTTATTACAGTGGCGCCCTCTCGTAGTAGATACATCTTAATTATTTTACATTTAAATATTTAGGAACATCCAAACCGTCAAATATTTTCTTTTTTATAATAAAACAAACGAATCTAATAATCAATTTATTAATATTCCGGAAAGCATTGTAGTTTTCTTTCTTACAGAATATGGTGTGAAGTTAGCTGCGAAAGCGGCCGTCCGGTACGGATTTTGCTATTTTATCTGTGGGACTGGTATATTCTGTTGAATTCGCTATCGTCCGCAAAACAAAAACAAAATAATTGACAATCGTTTGTTTTCTTTTGGTTTTACAGCACATGTTTTAACTGTAATGTTAATTATTTTTTGGATTAAGTGAAGTATTAAATAGCTGTAATCATTATAACAAAGTTTTTCACTTTAGATATGTGATTTCTATTATACAATAGACGATATTGATTTGTTATTGTTAGTGACGAGAACTAATAAACGAATAGGAAAGGATACTGCAAATTGTACCGAGTAAGTAAGCCTACTTATTATTAAATTTAATAATGTATTCGTGTAGTTTAATTCCATGAATGAATAGGTTTAGTTTTATTTGTCTGGGTTCTACATTTTAGGTTAGTTTTGTATTTTGATAATAGGTAATTAATGTAAATATTTAGATGTCGTCATTATTTAACTAAATTTTTGATCTAAATGTTTGTTTTACCATAATTATTTAGTGTTTTTTTACTTAGTAAGTACCTTCTTGTTAACGCGTTATTTTACGTATATTACGTATGTACTTAGGTATGCTATGCCGGTAGCGGTGCCTGCCGCAGCCGACCGGGTATAGTAAAGTAAATATAAAATTAGTAATTAAATATTTTCGTATAAATCATACTTATAGATATCATATATTATCATAACTATTGCAAACGAACCAGTGGCGTACCTATACAATATACTATACGCTTTGGGCCCATGGCAAATTCATCGGATGGGCCCCCGTTCCCAATAAAAAACGACAGAGAAGTTCAGTTGAAAACCTCTAAACAAACCTCTCTGTGGCATCTTAGCGACCTGCCGCACTGTAGTTTCGCCACTGAACCGAACGAACAATAAATCCTGCCTATGAAATACCTAATATCAAACTGGCTACATGTACGTACAGTAGGTATACATGCTTACTAACCTACTAGGTAAATACGGGTAAGCTAGGTAAATACCTAAAATACCTACGGTCTCGGGGTCAAATTCGCAATACTACTATAAAGATTAAAACAGCGTGATACTTTTATATTTATAATAGGTACACTTATGATCATTCTATCAACGAAACAAATTTAAATATACAAATCTAGGTACATGCCTATCTATTTTTCTCATAGGTAACGCTTTTTGATATTTTCGTATACGAACTAGTAAAAGTACTTTAAAGTAAGTACCTACCTAAATAGGAGGTAAATATAAAACCAACATATTATTTTGTGTGTTTCAGGATCAATAAATAATGGAGCCGATAATCAAAGAAGATTTAGAGAACATTATAATTGCTTTGCTACAGAAATGTCAACTAGAAAACGAAACTCCAATGCATATTCCTCTGGAAGATGTTGAAAGTAGAGTATTACATTACTCTGAAATCTCTCGAAATAAGTTGGAGATAACAATTGGCAAATACTCGTCCACAAAATGTACTATAAATCATTGTATCGATTTTGGTAAACATGTAACAATTTTAAACAGTCTTCTATATTTCTATGAAAAGAAATTACTGCCTACATTCAAGCTTTTATACGAATACATACAGATATTGGAACCTGCTACACGCGGTATGAACTATTATTGCTTTGTACATGATATGAATATGATAGGCATTGATCATCAAAGTATTTCTAATGGCAAAATGCTTCTTATGGAAGACCCAAAAATTACTTTTGAAAGAAGTTTATTTCTAAAAAGAATGAAAAATATTCGACAAAGTGATCATGTCATCTATTACGTCAGTGAAAGAATAATAGATGATAATTGTCATTTTGAGAAGACCTGGGTTCGAAATTGTAAAAGTTCTACATTAGTTACAAATGGACACGTATTCTTCCACGCTATATCAAAACAGGGTTTTACAAATGGCATATTTTGCTATTCTCCAACTGAATATGATTTTTACAAGTGGATAATAGATGTTTTGGTTCCGTCGTTGAAACCTGTAAGTGTGATTGTATTCGACAATAGTCCGTTACACGGAACCCCAAAACCTAATAAAGTATCCATGTTTGATACGAAAGATGAGATGAGAAAATGGCTATGTGAAAATAATATACCACACACTAACTCTATGAAAAAATCTGAATTGTATCATCTTATTGAGAACTGTGTAAGTAGTATGAATACGTCAGCTCAGGTTGATCGTGTTATCAAAGCAAATGGTCATCAAGTGGTACGATTGCCTACACATTTTGAAGACTTATCGCCTATTGACCAAATCTGGCAAGATATTAAGAGTTTTCAATCGCTATCTCAGAATGATCTACATAATAGTATAATAAAATACTTTTTAGAAATACCTACCGTCGCATATGGTCTTCTTTGTGATAAAGTTGAAAAACATGAAAACACTTTGTTTGAGTTGGATGAGAAAATAGATGAGGCTTTGGATCAATTTCTAAAGGTTTTAAAAAAACAGTGATATTTTACTAGAATTATGTACATCAGTATACTTATTTGAAATTAATATACCTATGTAAAATAATCCTTTACGTCCTATTTTTATGCAAATCGTAAGTTTGACGTCGATTAATTGATTTTGTTTTAGGGAACAGAGAGTATAGTTCCCTAAGATCGGAAAAGGAGGATCCTCCGACCAGGCGAGGTGATCGTGCCTGGCGGGCTTTCTGCCCAACAGTTGTTCGTTGGGATTTTCTATCCGTGTTAAATCCAATGTAAACTTCGCATGTGCGATGTAGGATTTTTATGACGTCATCCGTTAGAATGTACATGTGTCGCCACATCACTCCCTCCCAAGACCGAAGGTCGATCCCGCTGAGACGGCTGTCGATGCTTGAGATGTGCGGTGCCAGAGCCAGTGTAGAAAGTCCCTAGTTCCAGTGAGTCGGAACTGTGCCGCTGAGTGCCCAGTGAGTCGGGTGAGCGGTGCAGGGCGATACTCCAGTGAGTCGGAGAGATGAGTTCGCAGTGTCCCACGGTGAGTCGGGGAATAGATGCTGCGAGGGTAGGTGCGTAGTGGCTGGCGTCTGCGTTGACGGGAGGAGATGTCCTTCAGAACCGTGTGCAGAAGTGCTGTGCCTAGACGCTGGTGAGGCCGTAGGGAAGAACCAAGCTGCACAACTTCGTTGCAGGCGATGGTGGTCCCTGATGAGGCTGAGGATGCTGGTTGGCTGCGACTTGATTACCGCTCAGCGGAGAAATGATGAATGAGAGGGATGGCGATACGGATGACGGTGCTGATCTGCTCCGTTAAGTGAAGATTACTTCCAATCACGTCGGGGTCACCACTTTAGGGAACAGAGAGTATAGTTCCCTAAGATCGGAAAAGGAGGATCCTCCGACCAGGCGAGGTGATCGTGCCTGGCGGGCTTTCTGCCCAACAGTTGTTCGTTGGGATTTTCTATCCGTGTTAAATCCAATGTAAACTTCGCATGTGCGATGTAGGATTTTTATGACGTCATCCGTTAGAATGTACCATGTGTCGCCACATCACTCCCTCCCAAGACCGAAGGTCGATCCCGCTGAGACGGCTGTCGATGCTTGAGATGTGCGGTGCCAGAGCCAGTGTAGAAAGTCCCTAGTTCCAGTGAGTCGGAACTGTGCCGCTGAGTGCCCAGTGAGTCGGGTGAGCGGTGCAGGGCGATACTCCAGTGAGTCGGAGAGATGAGTTCGCAGTGTCCCACGGTGAGTCGGGGAATAGATGCTGCGAGGGTAGGTGCGTAGTGGCTGGCG